TTTTACCTCCTGGCTCTTGAGGCAGAGAGAAGGGAGCAGGATGGGAGGAGGTGGCGGTGAGGGGATTTCAATCCATGTGATGCTGGGGATCAGGTTCCTCAGGGGCTGGGAAGCTGGCTAAAGGGTCCCTGGGGATGGAAGCCCAGGGAGATCTGATCTGGAGATCAGATGAGGGGTGCCCAGAGTGGGGCGGGGGGAGTCTCACCATACTGCTGTTCCAGGCAATGTAGTGGGGGGGTTCTGTCTGGTAGAGCTGCATGAGGCAGATGGTGGTCAGGGCCAGCAGCCCAGGCAGGGTCACGTAGCACCACAGGACAGTGAAGAAGGACCACAACGGGCGGCCCAGATCACCGAATATTTCTTCTCTGACCCTGGGGTGGGGGCAATGGGCAGAGATGTCTGGAAGGAGCCCTCCTCTGGCCACCAGGGCCTGGAGATCTTGGGAGGGTGGGTCTGCCAGACCTCTGGTTCTCTCACCAGTTTGCAACTCATAGGGGCTTACCAAGCCCTGCTGGGCCCTCCCCGAGGCTGGGACCTGCATCTGGTCTCCTCATGGGAGCCCCCTGATCCAGGGGGAGTGCCGGGCTCCAGCCCTCTGCCTTCAGAATATCCCATGTGGCCCATGGTAATGGAAGCTGAGTCTCCTGGTTTCTGACTACTCTTTCTGTCAGGACCCACCTGGTTGCCCTCCGATCACTCCCTCCTGCACCCCAGTGCTATTAGCTAGACCCCCCTGCTGTGGGATGGACAGAGGGAGCAGATCATGCCCCCCTTCTCCTCAGAGACCTGGGATGGGTCCCTGGCTGGGCAGACCCCAGGGCTTGGACATCACCTCCTAGCTCCGTAGATCCAGGCCAGGGCCACATTCTGGAAGGCCACAATGATGATAAGGATCAGCGGGACCAGGCAGTCATCAAACAAGGACATTATGTAGCTGCCAGAATGACTGGTGAAGATGAGGCTGCCCAGAAAACCTCCCAAGCAGACGATCACTGTGGCAAAGGCAGGTTTTTGTGTACACACAGGTCTGTGTGTAGGGCTGGGCCAGGGGTCGAAGTGAGCCCAGGAGATTGGGGTGACCTGGGGAGAAGGGTGAGAATCCACAGTACCTGACAGCAGCTTGGGATGCCTCCTGAAGATGGAGATGGAGTTCTGGAGGGGACAGACAATGCCTTCCAAGATCCTTATCGAGGTGTTCAGCCCCATGATGACCAGGGTCAAGAAGAAGAGGATGGCCCAGAAAGAGGAACCAGGGAACAACGAGACGGCTTGGGAGAAGGCTGCGAATGCCAGGCCGGGACCCTCCATGAACTGTGGGGGAGAAGGGCCCTCAGGCAGTGGTGGGTCTGGATGGGGGGAATGGTGCAGTGATCGAGTAGCAATGTCTGTGTTGGACAGAGGAAAGAGACACAGAGCGGTGGGCGGATGGCAGAAGGCTGAGTGTTTGCTGAGCTGGGTGAGCTTCACCTCTCGGGGCCTCAGGCTCCTCCTCTAACAAATTGGGATCCTAGGGTTGATGTGAGAATTAAAGTCAAGTGACAACTTAGCAAAGATCCTGGTACATACACAATGGTGGTGGAGACATGACCGTAACTGTTGCCTGCCTCAGACAATGCATGGGGTGGCCCCCAGGGTCCTCTGGGGGCCTTTGGGAAGCACCCTCCTGCACCCACAAACACACCTTTTCCTTCTGTGTCTTGATGCTGCAGGATGGGGTGGAGTGGATGACCTGGTACTGGAGGTGTTGAGGGAGATTGCTGATCCACTCTAGATAGTCCAGGGAGGGCAAGAGTAGGATGTCCTCTGGGGGCTTGGCATCCTGAGGCAGCACGCCCTTTTTTATCAGGTTCATCAGCTTTGAGACGCTCCTGAACGGGAAGCAGAGGCGAGGAAAGGTGGTGACCAGGCTGACTCCCCTGCTCTCTGCAAACCAGGGCAGGGGGGACTGGAGAGGAAAGTGAGTGGCCCGAGATGAGAGCAGCTGAGTAACAAGGGCCACTGGACATGGCCTGGAAGCTCATCATGTGGACTTGGGGTGAACTGCCCTGGGGATTCCACCTAAGGGGCAGAAGATTCTATATTTGTAGTAGCTAAGATTCCTCAGTGTTATGCAGTGAACAGTTCCCCCACCCCCGGCTAAATTCATATGTTCACGTCCTAACCGCCCCCCCAACCCTGCTACCTCTGAATGTGAACTTCTTTGGAAATAGGGTTGTTACAGAGGTAATTAAAGATGAGATCATCCTGGGTGGCCCCTGATCCAATATGACTGGTGTCCTTATAAAAAGGGGGAAATTTGGGCACACACACACAGGGAGAACCCCATGTAAGGGCGAAGGCAGACACCTACAAGCCAAGGAACACCAAAGATTGCCAGCAAACCACCAGAAGAGGCATGGGACCAATTCTCCCCCATCATCCTCAGAAAGAAGCAACTCTGCCAACACACTGATCTCAGATTTCTGCCTCAGAACTGCGAGGGGATAGATTTTTGTTTTGGCCATGCAGTCTGTGGGACTTTGTGATGGCAGCCCTGGAGAACGAATACACTCAGAATTGTCTCTCTTTTTGGACCTAGGTTTAGAGTGCTGTGATAATCAAGCCCGTTCACGATCATTCTCCTCAACCAGTGGAGCAAAGTCTGTTTAAAATTTTCCCTCCTTCAAGTCTGAATTTCACTCTTTCCTTCATGCCTACAGCTATTCACTTTCATGTGCTTGACTAATAACATTAAATACGGGTATTTCTTTGTAAAAAAAAGAAATACACAGTTTTTAAAAAGATTTTATTTATTTATTTGACAGAGAGAGAGAGAGAGCACAAGCAGGAGGAGCGGTAGAGAGAGAGGGAGAAGCAGGCTCCCCGCTGAGCAGGGAGCCCGATGTGGGGCTTGATCCCAGGACCCCGGGATCATGACCTGAGCTGAAGGCAGACACTTAACCGACTGAGCCACCGAGGTGCCCCAAGAAATATGTTTTGTGTGTCATCACTTGAGTGTCATTGTGTTTTGGTTTTCTATTTCTTACTTTTATTCCCTCAGTTTTTCTGGCAATATCTCTGCAGTGATGAGTTTATGTCTGGTTTGTCGTTCCTGCCTGTTGCCCTCTGCTGCATTTGCAACCCACATTTTATACTCTATTCCCCAAATAATGACCCCACTCCCTGCGATTACAAACATTGCCACAATAATCATCCATTAGCAGGGCTCATGTGAGGACTTCTCTAGGATACACAGTTGGGAATGGGGATCACTGGGCCATAAATACTGTGCTTGCTTAATTTAAGGAAATGCTAGGAGAGCTCAGCTGTCTTCTGTCCTCCTGATTAGAAAACTTTGATAATCCATACCTCCACTTTTCCTTACCTAAAGAGAGTAACCTAGAGCCTTGCTACTCTAAGTAGAAGCTCCCTGGAGGGGCAGCATCACTTGGGAACTTGGTAGAAATGCAGAATCTTGGGTGCATCCCAGACTTTCCTTTGCTCTAACGCTGATTCATAATGGCCACTGCAGTTTGAGAAGCTCTATATAATCAAGGGCAAGGAGCTCATGCGGCAGATCTTCTAGGGCCGCACTAATATGATAGCCACTAGGCACATAATTTATGTCAACTAAAATTAATTAAAATGATATAAAATGAGGGCACCTGGGTGGCTCGGCCGGTTAAGCATCTGCCTTCGGCTCACATCATGATTCGGGGTCCTGGGATGGAGTCCCGTATTGGGTTCCCTGCTCAGCAGGGAGTCTGCTTCTCCCTCTACCCTTCTCCCCTGCTCATGATCTCTCTTTCTCTCTCAAATAGATAAATAGATAAATAAAATCTTTTTAAAATTATATAAGATGAAAAATTCAGTTCCTTGGTCGCATTTGCATTATTTGGCCACATTCACCACATTTCGAATGTTCTAGCTACTTGTGGCTGGTATCTACGAGAGTGGATAGTGCAGGTATAGAAAGTTTCTGGCATCACAAAGAGTTCTACTGGACAGTGCTGCCTGAAGAGCTGATGGTTCTCCCTGGAATCAACAAGGAGCTTTTTAAAAAAACAAACTCAGTCTTCATTGAGCTATAATTTAGAGACAATAAAAAGCACAGATATTAAATGTACACTTCAGTGAGTATTGACAATGACCCAATCAAGATACAGAGTATTTCCACCACCCCACAGAATTACTTTGGGCGCCTTTCCAGGGCGCTCCCTCCATTCCAGAGACCACTACGGATTTCCGTCACTACACATTCATTTTGCCTATTCCTAGATTTCGTATAGATTCATAAAGTGTGTGGTCTTTTATGTCTGGCTTGTTACAAGCAATATAATGTCTGACATGCATCTGTGTTGGTGCATGTATCCACAGTTCATTCATTTTTATTGGTAGATAGTACTCCACTGGTTGAATAAATATTCTAAGATCTGTTATCGGTTCACCTCCCGACAGACATTTGGGTTGCTTGGAGTTTTGGCCATTACAAATTAAGCTGAAAGCAAGATTTCCTGCCCTAATTCTCTCTCCTTTCCTCTCCTTCTGCAATTCCAATTATACATCTATTAGTCCTCTAGGTCACTGAGGCTCTTCTCCAGTTTTTCTCATTCTTCTTGTCCTTTCTGTGCTTCCCTTTGTAGAACTTCTATTTACCCTGTCCTCAAATTAACGGATCTTTTATTCTGCTGGTTCCAGTCTAAACTAAATACATTAGTGAAACTTTGTCTTCATCTACTTTTTGAGTTCTAAAATTTCCATGTGGTCCTTTTTTAGATTTTCTGTATCTTCTCTAAAATATCTCCATGGCTTCCATTATATTCATCTTTTCTCTTAAATCTTTTAATATTTATAATGGTTGTTTTAAAATTCTTGTCTGCTAATTCTAATGTCTGGATGATCTTTGGGTCTTCTTTTTTCTCTTGGCTATGGATTATATGGTTTTTGGGATGTTTGAGGGTTTTTAATTCCATGTTGGACATTGCATAGAGAACAACAAAGGAGAAAGGTATGTTATTTGTTTTATTTTGTGTAGTCTCAATACATTTAAGCCTTTTATTCCAACAGGCAGCTATAATGGGCTATTTAACAGTTTTCTAAGCACTGAGGCAAGCTGGGGTTGGGGGACAGTTTTAATTAGTTGAGTTTTTTCTCTGCCCTCAAATGGGATTAAGGAGGGCTCACTTTGTCCTCGAGCCACGCCCCCAACTTTCTGCACAACCCCCTCCCCCCGGCGAGGATTAATTTCTTTGATGTTGTCATCATTTGGGTTGGAATGGGCTGGATCGTAGCTGTAGATGTTTTTGGTTTATCTTTGTATTCAGCTCCAGTGGGGCCACAAATCTGAGCACCATGAGACCATGCATGATAGCTCCTCTGCTTGCTAGCCTTGTCTCTGTTCCAGTTCTGCCACTTCTCCAAAATAATTCCTGGGAATAGAGAGGAAAACTGTCGGGCCGAGCAATTTATTTGTTGGGGGCTTGTTGTGATTCCAACACCTACTGGCAGCCCGTACTGTGATTAAATGCTTGCATGATTTCTTCTTGTCTGTGCAAGGTCTCTCCATCCATGACAGGCCTGCACCTTCAGCCACGTGCCCCTGGGCCAGGCGCGTATCCCCATTCACGGCTCTTTGCTCACATATGATGAACTCATCACTCTCCAGTATTTAGTTCATTAAAGCTCCTTTGTGTCCTCTGCTTTTCAGTAACGTTACAGGAAAGTATTAGTTTTATTTTTTCCATTTTTAAAATTGCTGTACCAAGGAAGCATGGACTTTTGCAGCCTTCAACATCCTAACTGGAAGAGAAACTCCACCTTGGAGATTAAAAAAAAAAAAATCCCAGTGCCTGAATGCATCCCAGATCAAGTAAATCAGAATCTCTGGAAGTGAGACTCAGGTGTGTCAGTGTTTTCTAAGGCTCCCCAAGTGATTCCAACATGCAGCCGAGGCCAGTAACCTCTGACTGTGGCTCAGAATGCTGTTAACAACCTCCTTTGTGAGTTAAATAATTGATTTTGAAATCTTCTTTGCACCATTTGCAATTTACGGAAGCCTTCAGACAGTCTTGTCTCTGGGACTATTATCTATAAAGTGGTGGCTATTAGAATATTATAAGTTGGCAGTTTTCTCTGAGAATATGATATTACTACAACTATTATGATTGTTGTTGTTACCATTATTAGTGGAGAGGCCTGAGTCTGAAGGCCCATGAGGCTGGGGGATTGCTAAGGTACAGGAAAGGAGACCTCTTGTTGGATCTGCAAGGCTGTTAATTACTTACTTCTCAACACAGGTGGGACCACTGGTAGCGGCCCAGAACCCCAGCACTATAAAGATGATGGATGTGACCAGCAGTGAGGTCCCCAGGTTGACGAGGGCCACCAAGGAGGCCATCTGGATATAGTTGTCTTCTCCACTCTTGTAGGAGGAGAAGTTGATGGTGGTGCCCATGCCCAGGCCCAAGGAATAGAGCACATGGCCTCCTGCCTGACGCCACAGGTCCAGAGAGGCCCAGGCTGAGAGCTGTGGATGGGGATGAGAGAGAGACGTTTGGGGGTGAGCTTGAGAGTTGACCCATCGGTGAACTGGAAGAGGGATGAGCTGGGGTGGAGAGCAGAGGGATGAGGAGCAGGCTGGGAGCAAAAAGGAAGATGTCGGAGAAGGAGAGTCAGAGAAGGACTGGGGAGTTGGGGGAGGGAGAAGGTTTGGCGTCCCCAGCCTCACCTCTGTGGTCACCATACGTCTGAGGCTGGCAACTGCGCCCTCCAAGAAGAGGCCTCGGATGAGGAAGCAGAGGAGGAGGATGTAGGGGAGGAATACTGTGAAAATCAGGATCTGGCCAGGTGGGTCAGGACAGAAACCAGAAGTCAGGAGAAGTGGGGAGGAGGGGGAGGCAGAGGCAAGCATTAACAGGGAACGCAGGTCAGCAGGAGTAGAGAAATGGGGATGAGCCAGGTTAAGGTGGCCTGGGTGCAACATGAAGGAGCTGTAGGAGGATTATTCTAGGGAGACAACAATGTTGTTTGGGGGAACATCCACCAATAAATAAGCTGCTCAGAGGTGAGGGGTGAGACCCCAAGTAAAGATGGTTTTTAAATGGTAGGGCAGTTGGACATTATTACTTCATAGGCCTGGGTTTTATGGTCTGTGCATGAGTTAAGGCTGCATGGAACAACATCACAGGTGAAGGGGGAGGAACAGCAATTGAGAAGAGACTTTGGGAGGAAGTAACACGGTCAATGGGAATTTTAAAGTATTTCTGGTTCTTTTTGCTCTGGGATAGGAGGGTAAGGCCCTCTCTCTCAGTGTGCCCCTACTAAGCCTTTAGTATAATCTGCTTTTGTGTGAGTGGTTTATCTTGGAGGTTGTGGAGAGAATGGTGAGGTGAGCCTCCAGGGACACATAGGGTGACTGCGTGAGTAGATGCAGGGGCCAAAAGCTACAGGTAAAGCTAACCAAAATGACCGGACACACACACTGAAATAAATGTTCTGTGTAAAGAGAATATGATCCAGGTGCCAGGGGCATGCATTGGAAGTATGGACTGGACTAAAATGGGAAACTCTGGAGAGGAACCAGTGGCAACTAGCTCTCTCAGGGATTAACAGGCGCTGTCAACATGCAGGCAGCTGCAGAATGCAAGGCTCAGGCGGAGAGGCTGTGGTCTGCTCTAGAAAGTCTCCACTGCTGTGACTTGGGGGTGAGGGATGGTGAAGAGGGAGCTGGGTCAGTACAAGGCCCTCGTTCCTGCCATGGGTGGGAGAGGAGCAGTTCTTTGTGAGAGGAGTGGTTGATGCCGCGGCCTGGGGAGATTATAGCACCTTCCTCAGGACCCCTGGATGGCGGAGCCAGGAGTCCTGGCCCCCCTCCTCTTTATCCCCTACAAGTCTGGGAGACTCTAGGAGTGGGGAAGGGTCACGGGGATTAGAGAAGAGAGGTCAACAGGAAGGAGTTGGACGGTGTCGGGTGGGAAGCCTCAGAATATTTGGATTTGCGAACATGAAGGGGTAGAGGAGTCCGTGGTCAGGGTGGCTTACCGGCATTGAAGTCTTTAGCCCTGTGATCATGGTTAAGAAGAGGAGGCACCAGGCTGCGAAGATGCCCAGGATGAGGTGCAGGACAAGGGCCTCGACCCCTTCTTCAATGTGGCCTGAGGCACTCAGGGTGGTGTGATACCAGAAATACTGGTGGGACACAGTCTGAAGGCAAGAGAGGTCTGGGGGGGACGCAGGTGCTTAGGCACCACCTCGCTTGGTATCTTGGCCCTGCTCTTCGCTTCCTCCCCTTGGACTCTCACTCCCTGTCTCTTGCTCCTTGGTGCCCTTGCCTCCCGTGGCCCTGCTGGCCTTCTCGCTCCCTCTCCTCACCAGTGACATTGATGGTCTTCACCAGTGGGCACTGGTTCCAGGGCAGGAAGTTAGCAAAGGAGTTGCCCAGGTAGGAAAGGCTCCAGGTGATGATGATGCTTTTATACAAGCTCATCAAGATGCACACCTAGGGGTGGACACGGTGGGCCTGAGGGACAGGATGGACAGAGACGGGGGACCTGGAGACCACAAGGGGTGAGTTGGGATGCCTCTTGGCTGGGCCCCTCATTCACCAATATGCTAGCGTATCCTGTGCCGCCCAGCCAGGGGATGAGCTGCTTCCAGACCCGGATGTTGTCCACACGCAGCCAATGCCCCATGATCATCTCCATGTATAAGAGGGGAATCCCGAACAAGAGGAGCATGAAGAAGTACATCAGGATAAAGCTGCCTGAAGAAGGGAGCCAGGAGCTGTGCTCAGGCAGCCAGGAGTCCTGGGCCCCCCCCCCCCCTTTATCCCCTACAAGTCTGGGCAAACCTCTAGTTCTTTCCTCCCCCAGGACCCAGGAGTATAGGCTCCAAGCCTGAACACTCCTTCCTGAAACTCAGGAGCCAGGCCCCTGGCCTTACCTCCTCCGTTCCGTTGACACAGGTAGGGGAAACGCCATATGCTGCTTAGCCCAATGGAGAAGGCAACCTGAATCAAGATGTTCTTAGTTCTTTTAGTCTGAGCAAAGTAATTTTGGGTCTTGGTGGCCAGAATCTCCTTGCCTGTGAGCTTCCAGGATGGGGGTGAGGAACTTGTGGGTTCTCTGGGAGTCTCTTCCTCTGATAGTTCTTCAAGGGACTCCATGACTTTCTTCTTACAGGCCAACTAACTTTCAGGGAATCTTGGGGTCGCCAAGAAGAGCAGACTTTAAGGGCTATGTCTCAGATACCAGCCTGTAAAAGTTCATGACAGCAGGGTTTTAGAGCAAACAAAGGGCCAGAATTTAACTCTTGGCCCTTCTCACTGGTTGAACTCTGGGCAAATAACTTCATCTCTCTGAGACTCAGGTTAGTTTTTTTTCCCTCATCTTACAAGCACAGACAACTTTCAAGATACTTAATAACTGTAACAGCATGAGCACCAATCAGAACGAAGGCCAGCCATAACCGCTAGAGTAACAGCTTAACATCAGCCCCGGCAGCCCTGTTTGATAGGATTAAAAATGATGTAACGGGAGTGCCAAGGACACAGCAAACACTCCAGCACTCAGGTTCCTTTCCTTTGTCCTTCTGATCTACTTGGCCCAGCTAATGCACACAAAACAAACTTATCACAACCATGGAGCTCTCAAAACACACAGACTCCTCCTGCCTTTGAATCTGCCAGCCTCACTCTTCCAGACTCTGATTCAGTAGATCTAAGGTTGGATCTAGAGGATTGGTAGAATTCGGAAGCTTCCTTGGGGTTCGATTTCTGGAAAGGCAGCCTGAGAGCTCTGTGGACCCATTCCTTAGTGAAACAAGCACAACTTGTGACCATTGCAAAGAAAGGAATATTTAAGGTCTTTGGAAATTGTCCTAAGGGCATGCAGCCAATGAAGAAACATTTATTCAAGAAAATCTAGTAAAACTCTCTGAGAACAATGAGAGCCAGTGGCATTGGACCCACAGTCTGCTCTCTCCCTCCTTACTCCTGGCCTAGTGCTATGGAAACTGCACAGGGTTCCCTCTCTCCCCAGCTCCCACTCAGAGGCTAGGGAATCTTCCCAGGAGGGGCAGACCACCAGCATTTCGCATTCCTTTTCAGTGACGTGTTACAGACACTAAATTCCAGACATGTGTGGTATAAGTAAAGGTCAGGAGCCCCCTTCTTCCACTCCCTCATTTCTGGCATGGCATACTGGGAATACTGGGGCCCTAGTCTCCCCCGACCCCAGCTCATTGGTGAGGTGGAGGTTATATGCTAGGAGGGGCAAGTCAGTAAGACCAGAGGCTAATGCTCCACATAGCATCCTGCTCCAAAAGCACTCAGAGAGAAGCAGGCCACTGTTCCCATCCAGCTCTGAAGATCTTGTCCTGGGAGAGAGGCCTTCAGAACACATGGGCCCAGAAGTGCTTCCTGGAAGAACTGACTTTATTTGAGGCAGAGTGTGAGGAAGTTGAATCCTAAGGGCACACTCAAATTCAGTGGAGGTTTTGGGGGTAGCAATTAAGAGGAGGCTGGTAGGGGCACCTGGGTGGCTCAGTCGTTGAGCGTCTGCCTTCAGCTCAGGTCATGATCCCAGGGTCCTGGGATTGAGCCCCACATCGGGCTCCCTGCTCTGCAGGAAGCCTACTTCTCATTCTCCCACTCCCCCTGCTTGTGTTCCCTCTCTCGCTGTCTCTCTCTGTCAAATAAAATCTTAAAAAAAAAAAAAAAAAAAGAGGAGGCTGGTAACTTCATGAAGATGCAATAAAGACAAAGTTTTGTCACCAGAAGCCCCGCACCACAGGAAATACTACTTGGGTCTACTTGGCGGATTCCTCTGTAAGAAGGGACATTATCCTGGATGGAAGGTTGGACATGCAGAAAGGAATCGAGAGTAATGAAAACGTAAATCTGTGGATAAAATGGAGACTGCACAGAAACAGTAACAGTAACATCTTACTTGGTTTTAATTAAGTGAAGAATAAGAATTACATGACATCAAAGATTTGGAGGGCGGCAAATGGAACTGAATTGTTGTAAGTACTTTGTGTCGTCTAAGAAGAGGATAAATGTAAAGTGGGGACGCAAGCACCCGCAGACCCCACAGTTTAGGCATAGGGCTCCGAGCGGCTTCTGACCAGTCATGGGGCCCTTAGTTACTGTTAAAGGAACTTGTAAAATTGCCTCAGGAAATACTATCAAGTTGCCTTTTGAAAAGTCTGTGGGGTGCTGTTCTACCTGAGATAACAAATCTCACGTGCAGTGTTTGCAAGAAAACATCATAATTTGCAGCTTAGCAGTAGCCACAGGATGTAGAACTTCTGCCTCTGTACTCTAGAGATGATGTCACTAATGCAGTCTGCCCAGGGCCGTGTCCAGTTCCAGGCCCTAAAACAGAGAGACCACTGCACAACAGTTACACCAAAACCAGACAGGAACAAGCCAGAAGGGACGGGATGGTCAAGAAAGGGAATGGAGCTGACCCAATCTTTAATTAATCATCATGATCCAAGACCCTGAAACCCTTACCCTGAATTTCCACCCTTTAAAAACCCCTCCTTGCAAGCCACTGGGGAGTTCGGGACTTTTCACCATTAGCTCCTGGTTCTCCTGGGTGGCACCACACCAGTAAATCTTTCCCCACTGCAAAAGCTTGGTGCCAGTTTTTATTGGCTTGCTTAGCATTGGGTGGGCAAACTCTTGTTTGGTTCGCTTACAGTACCAATAAACATTATTTGATAAAATACATGCATGTTTACTATCTAGGGGAACCATTAAAAGAATTATAAAAAAGTATAATTTCTAAGCTACAAGAGAGAAAAAATAGACTAATAAAAACAAGCAATGCACGAAGAATGCAAGGAGAAAAAGTAATATAGAGTAGATAGGACAGATACAAAAATACCTCATTAAATGATTTAAACCTGAACATATCAGGATTTGTGTTAAATGTAAATGGATTGAATGCTCCAATTAAAAGATGAGTTTTCAGACTTAATAAGAAACCAAAATCAGACTAAATCCTGTCTACAAGAGACATCTAAAATGTAAGAATTTGGAATAGTTAAAAGTAAAGAACATGAAAAATAGTATTCCATGAAAACTTTACCCAAAAGAAAGCTCGTATAGCTTTACTAGTATATTAATATATAACTTTTACACATTAAATTATAGTATTAATGTTTATATATACTTAATGTTTATAAATATATTAACATGTATTTAATATTTAAGGTAAAGTTTCCAGAGATAAAGAGGGAAATTTAATAATGATAAGAAGTTTCATTTGCTGGGAAGACATATGAATTCTAAAATGTTATGCATCTCTTAATATGACCTCAAAATGTAGGAAATGGATAGAATCTACTTATCTTAGGCATAACAGATAAAGAGCAAAAATTCATTAAGGATATGGAAGATCTGAACAACTTAATTAGTACATTTGACCTAATGAATATATATGGATATGCACACACACACGTAACTATATTCAACAACTGCAGAATACATATTTTTAAGAACAGGCTAAACAGGGGCACCTGGGTGGCTCAGTCTGTTAAGTGTCTGCCTTTGGCTCAGGTCATGATCCTAAGGTCCTGGGATGGATCCCCGTGTCCGGCTCCCTGCTCAGTGGGGAGTCTGCTTCTCCCTCTCCCTTTGCCCCTCTCTCCTGCTTATGCTTTTTCTCTCTCTCTCTATCAAATAAATAAATAAAATCTTTAAAAAAATAATATGCTAAAAAAATTTTTTAAAAATTTAAAAAATAATATGCTAAACAATTACAAAAAACAACCATATTTTCCATAAAACAAATCTCAGCAATTTCAAAGAATCACATTCGCACAGTGTATACTTCTGACCACATTAATTAAGCTAGAAATTAATAATAAAAATTAGTTTTAAAGTTCCCATGTTTGGATATTAAAAACTACATTTTGTTTTTTATTTTATTTATTTATTTTTTTATTTATTTGAGAGCGAGAATGAGAGACAGTATGAGAGGGAGGAGGGTCAGAGGGAGAAGCAGACTCCCTGCTGAGCAGGGAGCCTGATGCGGGACTCGATCCCGGGACTCCAGGATCATGACCTGAGCCGAAGGCAGTCGCTTAACCAACTGAGCCACCCAGGCACCCCTAAAAACTACATTTTAAAATAACCAATGATTAAAGAATTGATTATAATGGACATCAGAAAATATTTTGAATAGAATGATAATGAAAACGTGGTGGTGGGGGGCACCTGGCTGGCTCAGTCAGTGGAGTGAGCAACTCTTGATTTGGGGTCATGAATTCGAGGCCCACATTGGGTGTAGAGATTGCTAAAATAAATAAATAAATAAATAAATAAATAAACAAACAAACAAACAAACAAACAAACTTAAAAAAAATGGAATGCAGCTAAAGCCGAATATTAGAAATTTTTAAAAACATGAAAATTGGGTGCCTGGGTGGCTCAGTTGGTTAAGCGACTGCCTTCGGCTCAGGTCATGATCCTGGAGTCCCGGGATCGAGTCCCGCATCGGGCTCCCTGCTCGGCAGGGAGTTTGCTTCTCCCTCTCCCACTCCCCGTTTGTGTTCCCTCTCTCGCTGTGTCTTTCTCTGTCAAATAAATAAATAAAATCTTAAAAAAAAAATCATGAAAATTAATAAGCTAAGATTCCATCCCTAGAAATTAGAAAATAATAGCAAAATAAACCCAAAAAGGAAGAAGGCAGGGAATAATAAAGTTAAGAGGAGAAATTAATAATATGGAGGACAACATAGAATAGAAAAGATCAACAAAATCAAAAGTTGGTTCTTTCTTTTTTTAAGATTTAATTTATTTGGAAAAAAAAGATTTAATTTATTTGAGAGAGAGAGTGTGTATGAGCAGGGGGAGGGGCAGAGGGAGAGGCAGAGAATCTCAAGCAGACTCCATGCTGAGTACAAAGCCCGATGTGGGGCTCCATCCCATGACCCTGAGATCATGACTTGAGCTAAAATCAAGAGTCAAATGCTTAACTGACTGAGCCACCCAGGCGCCCCAAAGGTTGGTTCTTTAAAGAGACAAATGAATTTGATAAAAATCTCTATTAAGACTTGCCAAGAGGGCGCTTGGGTGGCTCAGTTGGTTAAGCGACTGCCTTCGGCTCAGGTCATGATCCTGGAGTCCCTGGATCGAGTCCCGCATCGGGCTCCCTGCTCAGCAGGGAGTCTGCTTCTCCCTCTGACCCTCCCCCCTCTCATGCTCTCTCTATCTCATTCTCTCTCTCA